TGCGTTCATCTAAAGACATAACTTCTTTTAATCTACAACTGGGATCTGAGTCCTGAAGACCTTCTTCCGGAACCTCAGTAAATTTACTTAATCTAAATGGGTCCAGGTGATGGGGTGATTACCCTTCTTTCCTGCTAAATCATGGAGGTTTGGGGAGTTCCTTCAGACCCCCAATGAACTTGTTTAATCCTAAACAGGTCCTGTTAAGAATTCCTTTGTTATTTTGTCATGCTTTAAGGCCTAGGAAAGGCCTAGGCAAAACTCTTTTTTTTTTCTTTTTGAGACGGGGTTTCGCTCTTGTTGCCCAGCCTGGAGTGCAGTGGTGCAATCTCAGCCAACTGAAACCTCTGCCTCCCGGGTTCAAACGAGTCTCCTGCCTCAGCCTCCCAAGTAACTGGGATTACAGGCGCTTGTCACCATGCCTGGCTAATTTTTTGTATTTTTAGTAGAGATGGGGTTTCACCATGTTAGCCAGGATGGTCTCGATCTCCTGACCTCGTGATCCGCCCACCTCGGGCTCCCAAAGTGTTGGGATTACAGGCGTGAGCCACCACTCCCAGCAACCTAGGCAAAACTCTTGGCGGCCTTTTGTTATATTCCAGCCTTTGTATAAGGGCACTGCCTCTCTTAGCTTTTAATATTTAACCACTCAGTGAGTACCGAAACAGTTGTTATGGAGGCCTGCGTTAGTGAGACCTGGCCTGCCACACCCTGGCCTGGCTGGAGCTTGTTTCATCTGTCCATGGGGGTGGAGCGGGAGTTATTTGTCCCTGCGTCTGTCTCTGGCCTCCTCCACCTGCAGCTCTGGCAATAGCTGCCCCTTTATGGGTTTTAATCAGAGCTCTGAAACATTGTTTTTCACTTCCCCCTTTTCCGCTAATTAACTGCAGCCTATTAATTAGTGCTATTGGACTCCCCACTCCCATAAACCCCATTCACTAACCATGCTTTGCCTCCCCAGCTTTTGCTAAATACGTGACTGCGCTGTAGTGTAGCTGCCTCTCCCTGAGAAGTGATTACAGATCTTGGCTGAGCTGACCCCCTGCCACAGCTGCCCAGAGAGGTCACAGCTTGGCCGGATGCTTCATCTTGATTAGCCCTTAACTTCTTCCCTCCCTTCTTCCCTCCCCATCTTCCTCTCTGACATTGAGAGGGCCTGGCACTAAGCTGTAGGTTAAAATCCCTCTCAGTATAAGCACTGAGCTCTCTTCTCCTTGGGTCTGTTTCCTGCACTCCCAGGTGTTGCTCCGGGTCACAGAAAACAGCACTGTGGGGCCAGAGGGACTGAGTTGATCCCCTTCCCTGACCCGGTAGAGTCTCCCATCAAAACCCAGATCTGCTTGTTTCAGATCACTTGACCTCATTATCGATCACAGTGATTTTGGTCTGTGTTACCCATTTAACTCTCAACTCTGATGTCAGCTCCCTTTTTGTTTACTTAGCTTTCATGTGAAATTCCAAATCTTCAAAGCTCTGCTTCTTTTCACCTCTTTTCCACTCGACCCAGACTTCTTACCCCCATTCCCGGAGTCTCCCAACTCTCCCAGTGTGATCACTTCAGTGCTCCACTTCTCCGTTATGATAGGCCCTTATTTCTCACTCTCCTCTTTTTTTTTTTTTTTTTTTTGAGACTGAGTCTTGCTCTGTCGCCCAGGCTGGAGTGCAGTGGTATGATCTCAACTCACTGCAACCTCTGCCTCCAAGGTTCAGGCAATTCTCCTGCCTCAGCCTCCCAAGTAGCTGGGATTACAGGCATGCGCCACCACGCCCGGTTAATTTTTGTATTTTTAGTAGAGATGGGGTTTCACCTTGTTGGTCAGGCTGGTCTCAAACTCCTGACCTCAAGTGATCCACCCACCTTGGCCTCCCAAAGTGCTGGGATTACAGTTGTGAACCACAGAGCCCCGCCTCTTTCTTGTGTTTAATTCTGATGTTTTAATTCTTGACCCCTCTTCTGTCATTCCCCCTTTCCTCCAAATACACACATACACTCTATCCTCTCGTCCCCCCTCAGCTCACGCTAAGCCTGGGTTATGGGAAGGATGTGATCCCTTCTTTAGTAATAGCCCAGGCTTCATTAGAAACTGCAGGGGAAGTAGCTGAACTTATGGTAGACAGAATGCAATCTACCGCGATGATGATGGTGGTAAAAATAGCTACCACTGATTGAGATCTGACTGCACGTCAGGCATGGTGCGAAACACACACATATCTCATGTAGTTCTTCCAGCTCCCTTTTAACTGTACTCCATCCTCCAGATGAGGAAAGTGAGGCTCAGGATCCTTAAGTAACTTGCCCAAGTTCACACAGCTGCTAAGTACCTGAGCCTATATTTAAACTCTGTTAACCCCTAGTCTACGTTTATGCAGTTTTGTTTTTTTTTTAACTTTGGTCTGCACAATCCTTTAGGTGAAAGTTATTTTCTTTGGAATGTAAAAGCGCCCAGATCATGGTGTGACTCTGCTATTCCTTCAGTCCTAGGAGACCAAATGTGACTCAGAGCCTGACCCGTTCCTGGCCTTTTCCCCCTTGCACAGTATGGCCCCAGATGAGGCCTGTCCTCTTTATATCTGGAGGTAGTAGGTTGAAGATAAGCAGTGGGGGTGGGAAGTGGAGAGGGGCTTCCCGCCAGCCAATCGGGACGCGACCGCCCAGACTCCCAGCGCAGCATCATCTGCTCCTGCTAAGACAATCATCAACATAAAAGGCTAATTGTATTAATCACCAAGGCACCCGGCCTGAGTCCCCCTCCCTTTTGGGAGAATTATGAATTGCAATTGCAGATGGCTCCACTGATTGAAGGCAGTGCTCAGCAGGGAGAAGGGTCAGATCAGATTACACACCATTAATTAAAAACTTCCGTGACAAACAGGAGGAAGGGAATGCAAACCAAGGGCTGGCCTGGTTGGGTCTCTGTCCTCCCCACGTCCCCTGCCCCCACCCAGGCCCAGGGGCTATGCCAATGAAGCCTGCTTCCCCCAGCTGGAGCCACTGTGATTCAGCTCTCCAAAGGCCAGCCCTTCCCTCATTCAAACAGATGGCCTGCTGTCCTATTAAAGGGCTCCAGAGAAGGGGAAGCGAACCTTTGGTTACTTATTTCCACATCTAACCTTGGATGCTCTTCAGAGGCTAACCTAATTCCCCACTTCTCAGGAACCTTGTTTCCTCCTGCTCTGTCCTGACAGAGAACTGCTTTGAAGAACTGTTAATGAAAATAGCCCCTCGACTTTCTCTTCAGGCAACCCCTCATATTTTGACCTGTAAGTTCCTGGGACAGACGTTGTGAAGCCTGCTCTGAAATTGTGGGTGGAACAGCAAATATCTGGCGATGCACCCTCTCCCCAGCCCAAACCTGGAAGCATAGGCTTCTCAGCTGCTGTCATACTGGCTTATCTGGAACTGTAACTCCTGAAATTTTCTCCTCTTGATCTATTACTGCCTCCCCTCCTCCCCAACTGCCCAGCCTTATTCATTCATCAAACTTATATTGAGCACCCAGTGTGTGCTTGGCTCTGGGGACAAAAAGCAGTGATCATTTGTCAAGGAGCTTAAGAGCCTACAGTAGGAGCTCCACACCCCCATCCCCTTCAACCCTCTAGTTCCTGTTTCCTTCCTTCCTGGGGCTGCAGCTTGTATGAGCCCCCCAGGAGCTCTGTTTTGGAAGATTCTAAACTGGGAGTGGGGAGACCTTAAGTGTTTGTGCTCCTGAACCGGGTGACCTTGAGCAAGTCAATCATGTCCTCTGTGTACACATACGCTCTCATACATGCATACATACAGACGCCCAGCTCTCCCCGCTCATAAAAGGACATAGGCAGCCTTGGGCTCTGAGAGATTGTGAACACGGATGAGTGGGGCCCAGCTTGGAGAGATATGAGTAGCATCTGCATTGATATTACAGAATGCTGAGCACAGCTACGGGGGCCATGAGCACCAGGGATTCAGCTACCGCACTGGTCACAGGCTGGGCCTGTCACGCTGCCCTTGGAAGACTTAGGCAGCCTTTTCCCCATCCCCAGACCCTCAGGAGATATCATTAAAAAGGATCTATCTTTTGTTTGTATTATAGTTTAATTTTTCATTTTAAATAATAGAGATGGAGTTTCGCTATGCTGCCCAGGATGGTCTCAAACTCCTGGCTTTAAGCAATCCTCCTGCTTGGGCCACCCAACGTGTTGGTGATTACAGGTGTGAGCCGCCACACCTGGCTGTTTTTAATTTTTTGTAGAGGCAGGGTTTTGCCATGTTGTCTAGGCGGGTCTCGAACTCCTGGCCTCAAGCGATCCTCCCACTTTGGCCTCCCAAAGTGTTAGGATTACAGGTGGGAGCCACTGTACCAGGCCAGGACCCATCTTTTTTTTTTTTGTGAGACAGAGTCTTGTTCTGTCACCAGGCTGGAGTGCAGCAGCATGATCTCGGCTCACTGAAACCTCTGCCTTCCAGGTTCAAGTGATTCCTCTGTCTCAGCCTCCCAAGTAGCTGGGACTACAGTCACGTGCCACCATGCCTGGCTAATTTTTTATATTTTAGTAGGGACAGGGTTTCACCATGTTGGCCAGGATGGTCTCAATCTCCTGACCTCGTGATCTCACCCCCCAGCCTCCCAAAGTGCTGGGATTACAGGAGTGAGCCACCGTGCCTGGCCGCCAGGCCCCCATCTTCTATATGAATTTGGCTGCTGTATCTTAGGGTACCGTGGTGATGGGCGTCATAGAGATAAGAACTGATTTTATTGGCTCGCCTCTTCATTCCAGGGCCCTCCCACAGCCCCTCACACCCACAAAGACCCAAGGTCAGCAGACCCAGAGAAGAGGAGACAGGTCCTTGGTTAAGTAGATCCAATGATGTGAGAGAAAACCCAGTCTCTCTTCCTTCCCTCTCAGTCATCTTACTGTCTTTTTCCCTCCTCCCTCTCATTACCAACAGCAATTGTCTTCAAACCCAATAATTACAGTAACAGTAACAATCATCATCATTTATTGGGGTTGTTTTTCTAGCATTTTAACTTCCAAAAAGTATTTTCCAATTTCTTGATTTCACAGCAGTCCCTGGAGGAGGATTGTGTCCACTTTACAGCTGGAGAAGCCGAGATCCAGATAGGACCCCCAAGTTGTGGGCAGAATAAATCTATAGCAGCCTTTAAATATTAAACCAATTGAGACTTTGGTAGTCTTTCAGAGGCACTGAATCTCAAATCTGTTTCCTGGGTCCCTCCTGGATTCCTACCACCCTTAGGGCTTATTCAACAGCTTTTTGGGGATCCTGTAATGCTGACAGAGGCTGGAGATGGCTTCTTTGACCCAGGTCATGAGTCAATGGCTAGATGGGCACTTCCCTCTAAGGATTGTTCCTGCCTGAGAGTGGGCTGTGGGATGGGAGCTGGGGCAAGCACCTGGGAGGAGGCTTCCCTGGGAAAGGCCTGCCTGGCTCAAACCTCCCTTCCTCTATCCCACCCCTCTACCAGCCTGAGAAAATGTTCTCTGTGTCAGCTGTTCTCAAGGGTGGGGCCCTCTCCAGAGCATTTGGAGGAGTGAGGAATAAACACCTATTGGGAGAAGACAGGCGTGGTGGCTCACGCCTGTAATCCCAGCACTTCGGGAGGCTGAGGTGGGCAGATCGCCTGAGGTCAGGAGTTCAAGACCAGCCTGCCAACATGGCGAAACCCCATGTCTACTAAAAATACAAAAAATTAGCTGGGCGTGGTGGCAGGCGCCTGTAATCCCAGCTACTTGGGAGGCTGAGGCAGGAGAATCCCTTGAACCCGGGAGGTAGAGGTTGCAGTGAGCCGAGATCACACCACTGTACTCCAGCCTGGGTGACAGATCAAGATTCTGTCTCAAAACAAATAAAGATCTATTGGTAGAGCAGTCTCTGTCCTCAGGAAGCCCCCAGTGTGAAGGAGGAAATATAGCCCTCAAAATCACACCCAAGGGCAGAGAAATCCCCCCAGAAGCTCAGAGGCTGTCCCAGGGCCTGATTCCTCCAGAAGAGCCTGTCCTCTCAGGACCAAGGGTTTCCTGGGTGGGTACGAAGTTGGGGTTCCCTGAGGTCCCTATAGCTCCAATGTCTAAGCAGAGTGGCTGTCTGGGCTCCCATTCCTTTCTCCCCCAAGACTCGAGCATCTGGGGGTTCAGGACTCCCACAGGGTCCAATGGGTGAGAGGAGGGGAGGGCGGTCCTAAGTCCCCTGCCTTCCTCTGCTCTGTCCCACTGAGAGGCACGGAAGCCCTATGGAGAGGGAATGGGACAAATTCACTCCCAGATTCTACCTAGAAATGTAATGCCAGGGACAGGGCTTGTCCCCTCCGGCCCACCTGGTCAGGACAAGAGGTCAAGCCTCCCCCTCCCACCACTCCCAGGGAGAACCTCCATGCAGGCCCTGCAAGGCAGGAAGCCCAAGGGCGCAGCCAGGCCTTGGCTGTTTCACACACTCTCCATCTCCACGGCTCCCGAACCGGGTTGGGATTCCTTCTTCGGGGGTTCCGCCCCTGCCCCTGTCCCTGTCCCTGTCCCCACCTCTGCAGTGCCTGTGAGGATAGCCAGCCGCTGGGCCAGGGTCTTGGTGTCGGGGAACAGGATGAAGTTGTAGATTAGTGAGGCCAGGAGGGCTCCCATCAGGGGCCCCACCCAGAAGACCTGAGGAGAAGGATGTCGTCACCCCACCCAGGAACTATCAGGACCACAGGGTGGCTCTGGGACCGCTGCCTGCTTCCCTAGTGCCAACTTGATCTCCCAGGTCTCCCTCAACTGTCTGTAAGGTGCTAAATTTGAGAACCACAAGTCATGCTTCCCAAGCCCACAACGTAAGGGGACCTTGCCCCTTGCTCTCCCTGCCCTCCCTGGGGCTGAGCCCAGGCTCTGCAGCCATGGCTGGGGCCTGGGGCCAGTCTCCTTACCCGCCCCCGCCTCTTTCCTCTCGCTTCCCCCATTTTAGCCATGAGTCCTGGCTATTGCTGTTTCTGTCTCTGCTGGTGTGTGTCTATTTCTGTTTGTCTTTATCTTTATCCAAGTTTGAAAATTGGTCCAGCTGGAGAAAGTGAATAAGGAAACAGCCAGGACTTAAAAGTCTGGGCCAAGGCTGCAGCTCCTGCCCTGGCCCATTTCTTGCCAGTCTACTGGGTATCCCAGGCGACTGAAGCTGAAAAGAAAGGAAGTCCCAGCCAGGACACTCACCCTGGCCTTCTGAGCTTAGGGAAGGCTGCACTTCAGGCTCAGAAAGGTCTGGGGCCCCCATCACCCCGTCTGTGTGGACCTGCTGCAAGTGAAACCCACCATCTATCGCCAGCTCAGGCTCTCTCCCTTCCCCAGGGCTGCTGGCAGAGGGGCTCACCCAGTGGACTGTGAACTTCCCAATGATGACGGCAGGGCCGAAGGAGCGGGCCGGGTTCATGGAGCAGCCAGTGAAGTGGATCTGGGGAGCAAGTACAGGGTCAGGGTGGGAGAAGGTTTAAGGCAGGCCTGAGAGGGGACCATTTCTCAGTCCTGGCTCAGAGCCTTAGCCGCAGCCACAGCCTCTGTAGTGCCACATCCTGGGCCTAGAGTGCAGGGGGTACCACTTTGGCTCCAAGGCACAAGGGGCTCAGGGAGGGACACTGCCTAGCCTTCAGGGCTCCACAGTTTCCCCAGGGATGGACCCGGTGTGTGCATGTGCACAGTGTCCCCTCTGCTCCTTACCCCAATGAGGTGGCCCAGTGCCACGGAGATCCCAATCATGGTGGCCGGGGAGCCCGATGTCTGACGGCTGTCAGTGGAAGCGAAGACACAGAGCACCAGCTGCAGGGTCAGAAGCAGCTCCACTGCCACCGCCTGGCCAGTTGAGACACTGTTCCGGACCTGGGCAGAGGGAGTTACTCTGGACTAGACGTGGGCTCTGCCCACGGACAGACAGAGAAACCCCTGCCACTGGGCCTGGTCTCCTCAGCTGGAAGTGGGTGACACTTCACTGCCGCCCAGCTTCAGGACTTCAGGAGGTCTGTGCAGAGGAGTCCATATCTGCTGTGGACCCTTGCTCCCTGTAGAAGTGAGTGGCACTCCTCCCACCCCACCAGTGGGTTGGTTGGGGCCAGTGGTTCAGGAGGCTTGCTTGAGAGCAGACTGGCAGCAGGTGTGGAAGGAGATTTGAGGGAAGAAGGTGGAACACAGATGGTTAGGAAATGGGGAAGGGGGGAGTGAGGCAGGCCTTGAGGTGGAGGGAAGAACTTGGGAGCAATCGGAGAGCAGAGGACGTGGGTGGAGTCTGGGAGAAAAATGAAGTCCTCTCTCCCCTCGAAAGTCCTCCCCAAAGTCAAGGCGAAGAAGCAGAAAGCTTATTTTGCTTTCTCTCAGGCTTTCTTTCTGCCCACAGTCCCCACACTCCCTTGGCCGCGTCTACCCTTAAATGCCTGGTCCTTCTATTCCTTCTCCTTAATGTGGCTTCTTCCTTCTCCACCTGTTCTTCGTGCCACTATCCCATTTCTATTCTGCCTAGACTGAGGTCAAAGTCTCAGTCCTCTGGGTCCTGGCGCCCAGGCTGGGGGGATGTGGAGCCTGCAGCTGACTTGTTGCCTCCTCTGCTCCCTCGCCTCTGTCCTGCCTCTGCCTGCACCACCTGTGCACATTCCCACCTCCTGGCCCTCCAGGTGCCCCTCCCTGCACCTACCACGTTGATCCCAAGGGTCTCTCGGATGTCTCCCGGCATGACTCCATAAAGCAGAGCAGCTCCCACCGTGGCCCCCACCAGCTGGGCAGCCACATAGGCCACAGCACGGGGCAGAGAGATGTGGGAGCCTACGAGGAAGGCCAGCGTCACGGCGGGGTTGGCGTGGGCCCCGCTGGCCTTCCAGGTGACCTGCACAGCCATGGCGGTGACCAGGTTGAAGGTGATGGCAATCTGCAGCACGGAGGGAAGTGCTGTGGGCCAGCGCATGACGGAGCCCACGCCAAAGAACACATACAGCCCTGTGGCCAGGAACTCTGCAAACAGCGCCCTGCTGATGGCTTTCCAAAGCCTGCATGCCAACACGTTGGCCCAGCCACAGCCCCCTGGATCCACTGCCTCCATGTCCTGGTGCCTTGGCTGTTCCTTGCTTTGCTCTGAGGCCTCTTGTCCTTCCTCTGGTCTCTGATCTCCTTTGTCTCTTCTGGTCTCCTGTCTCTGGCTGACCTTGGCTTTTGCTCTCTGTGGAGGCTTCTCTGCCCCCCACCTGCAGCTCCTCCACCACGCTCTTGTCCCCAGGAATGGGCTGGTCAGACTGGCAGGGAGCAGGCGGATGGGGTTATGTGTGTGTAGAGGGGTGGAATGAGGGGTGTTGCTCATATGCCTGCTCTAGCCTGCGCTTACCTGATGGGGTGGGATGTGGGGGCTGTCTCTGGGCACTGAGCTGGAACCTCCTAGGACAATTTCCAGGGCAGGTTGGGCCTGACTCGTGTTGTAGACAGTCCAAGGTCTGGCCTGAGGGTCGCAGGTTCAGGGCAGTGGGGGTCATGGGATTTCAGACTGTTTATGTTCCAACGTCAGCTTAGATACAGCAAGATCACTCAGATCCCCAGCCTGCTTCAGGGGGTCCTGTGCATTCCCAGGTCCTGTTCGTCTGGCCCCCTCCATATCTAGGCTTTGCTTCCAAATGGGCTGACACCACACCATGCCTGTAAATCCAGAAAGTAAATCCTCTCCCCCACTCCCACCTATACCCGCACTCACAGAATGCAAATGTGAATAGAGTCCACTTTACCAAGGACACTGTGGACACTGCGGCCTGTGGGGTTGCAGAGGGGCAGGTGGAGAAGGGGTTTATTCCACAGCGACTCAAACCACATCAGATCACAAGGCCATGGGCACCTCTGCTGTCCACCGGTGGGAATTTCCACTGGCCCTTCACTCACTTCCTCCTGCCTCCCTGTCCTCCCCGGCGCTCCCCTCCCTTCTCAGCCCCTCCCTCTCTGCTCTCCTCCTCTCAGGAGCCAAACAGATTTTACTCCTTTCTCACACAAGGCAGCTTAACCATTTTTTTGTGGCTACACTGGCCCTACGGTCACCCATGCCCTAGGCTTTCCCCTTTTAACCCTAGCAGATAGCAAGGCATTTTCTCAAACAAAAGTGTTCCTCCCTACGAAGAGTCTGCCAAGCTACTGAAATAACAGTCTTTCCCTCTTAACCACAGCTGGGTGTCCTGACCTCATCCCTGGCATATCTACCTGCCCACAGATGCACCCTGGTTGTTCTCAGGCTCCTCAAATGCAGCCTGTCTTCAGATGTGATCTTCCTGTCTCCTGGTACCCCCACCCTCAACCCCCATGTTCTCCTCTTGTTTTCTCCAGCTCAGCTGGTGGCATCTGGGAAGCATCCTTGACCCTTTTCTCCCTCCTTCCCCCATCCAGGAAAAGCATCAAGTCCTGCTGATTTTGAATCCTAAATATCTCCTGACTGTGCCCTCTTTTTGCCACTCCTGCCGCCCTGCAGCCTTTAACCAGTCTCTCTGTCTGCTCCCTTGCTCCATTCCAATCAATTTTCCATACTGCAGCCCAAGTGCTAAAATGCAAATCTGATCATGCTGCTCCCCTGCTAAAATCCTTTCCAAGCCTCCCATCCCTTTGGAAGCTCTGTGCCTGCCCCTTCAGGGACCCTGCAGCTCTACCTCACCTCTCCCCATTCCGTTACCCTCTGGTTTCACCAAATGCACACTCTTGCTGGCCTCTGCTTGGAGAAAGCTCTCTCCTCTTCTTGGAGATCCCTTGCACTCCCTTTGCTTGGGTAACTCCCATCCCAAAGGTTTAGCTTTGACATCGCTTGCTCCTTTCCTGGATGGGGACCCTTCTGCCTGCTCCCACCACACCTAAGCATTCTCCTACACTGCAGTCACCACAGGGTGCTGTCATGGTGTGAATGTGTCTCCCCAGTGAGGCAAGGCAGGAAGGCCTTTGCGGGGCAGGAACCAAGTTTTGTTCACCCCTGCATGTAGTGTCTTGCACAGAGATTGGCATAGTAAATGCCCAAGAAATATTTGTTGAATGAATGAATGAATGAATGAACAAAACTTCTTGACTTCCCAGGGCAGATGACTATGTCTGCTCCATTTCAGCCTCATACTCATACCTTCCCCCACCTGGGACTGATCCCTCTGATATCTTCAAGAGAAACATCTCAACTCTGGACCACAGGCTCTGTTCCTCCCCAGTCCCTGTCTGAGTCCCAGTAATATCCCTCACCCATTCCCTTCTGTTCTCCCTGCTGTCTCGACTTCACCCTGTCCTCTCCAGGGAACTCCTGGGCATCTCACCCTGAGCAGGCTCTTGCCAGCACCCCATGGTCCTGGCTCCCTGTCCTCTCCACCCCGTCCCTGCTGCGTGTCTCTGTTCTCATCCTCTTCCATGCCTTTCTGACCTCCATCTGCGCTGCTGAGCACTGCTGGAGAAACTCACCCAGCCGTGCGGACTGCTGCCATGACAAGTTCATGGTCTCTGGCCCCAGTAGGGATCGCAGCTCTGCTCAGCAATCCTTCCACAGCTCACCCCCCATTCTTTAAACCTCCCCCACTCTCTTCAAGTACTCGGCTCACTCTGGCTTTCTCTCAGCAGAGCACCCACCCTTGCCTCCCACCCTACCTAGAAAGCCAAGCTACCAGGCCAGACTTCTTCCCATCCTCCCTCCCAGTCAAACTCACCTGCAGCCGCCCCGTGTCCTTGCCAGCTGCCCTGTGGCCTTGAAGTAGAGGCAGCCCTTCTCTGGTGTACAAGTCGGGGTCGGGGGACCCTCCTTGGACTTCTGGCTCCCTTTGAGTGACTGGGACCCTCTCTTGGCCATTCCCAGTCTCACCTGTGGCTTTCAGGCTTCCCCTTCTCTTGACTTCTTCCCTATAAATGTGCCTGTGTAGTCACGGAGCAGTGGAAGGTCATGGTTTGGAGTCAAGGTTCCAGTCACATATCAACTGCACAACAGCTCCCAGCCCCCGGCTACTGAAACCGCTCTGGCAAAGGCCAGCATGATTTCCTCTCCAGCCCACTGTGGCTGCCGGCCATCTCCTTCCTGACGCCTTTTTCCCTGCCTTTGAGGCACATCTCCTGGCTGTCCTCCCACCTGTGTGAGGGCATCTCTGCCTCCGTTGCTGGCTCCTCTTCTGCTGATCCTTAAGCCTAGGCCTTGTCTACTCCTGGCCAATGGCCCCTCACTCCTGATGAATGTGCCTGGGCAGCCCTGTTCCCACCTGTGACTTCCACACCCTGCAGATACTGTCGACTCTCAACACTGCCTCTGGCCCAGATCTTTCTCCTGAACTCCAGACCCACTCACCTTTCACTGGACCCTCCGGCCTGCTTCTCCTCACCCCACTGTCACTCAGTTGCCCAGGCCAGAACACAGGAATCATCCGATGCTTCCCCTTCCCCCAGCCCGCAGCAAACAAGTTCCTGGTACCAGGTTCCTGGTAGCTCTTTCTCGCATTTGACACCTCTTTCCATCCCCACTTGCCACTGGTCCAGAGCAGCCCTTATCATCTCTCCGGGATGACTGCATTAACCTCCTTCCTGGGCTCTCAGACTACACTACACATCTGTGCCCTTCCACACCACTCTCCTTTCCACTCACTGTCAGAGAGATCCTTCCAAAATGCAAAGCTCGTCACGTTACTCCTCTGCTCAAAAGCTTTCAATGGCTCCCCATTGCCTCAGAATCAGGTCTGAATACCCATGTTTAACATGCAAGGAAGCCTCCCCTCCCACTGCCCACCCTGCACCCTTTACTCCAAACAGACCAGACATAGTTCCCCAGAACGAGCCCTTTGCTATGGAGTTTGGATGCCTCTCCTTTTTGTCTCTCAAGACTTTGCTCAAGTGCAGTTCTTCTGTGAAGCCTGCCCTGATTTCCCTCTCCAGCAGAATCAGGGCAAGCTTCTTAGAGAAGCAGGACTTGAGCAAAGCCAGGGGCTGTTGTAGCCTCTGCCTCCTCAATGCCTCCACTGTTCCAGCAGACTTCCATCCCTGGCTGGCATAGAGGAGTCATTCAATAAACGTTCAGGGGATGACAGGGCATGGCTGTGGGGGCAGCGTGGGCACTGTTCCTCCCTGGCACGGAAGGTTCCCTGGCTGGGGGCTGTCCCAGGGTAGTTCAAGGGCACTTGTCTGCTTCCCTCACCTCAAGCAGGGCCAGTAGAGGGCTTGGTGGACAGGCACTTACCAGTCCTTTCATCTGACCTAGCTTCAGTTTCTGCCCTTGTTAAATGGGCGCCAAGTGGCAGTAACGCTGTCCTGAGAGCTGCTGATGAGGCCAGTGAAAGGACTGTGAACACTGCCATGTTTATTGCACCCTAAGCAGTTGCTTAACCTCAAGATCCTCATTTATACAATGGGGATGATGCTAATAATGCCCTCCTCCCTGTGTGTAGTTAGGAGTAAATGTGCTGATACCTAGGAGAGGGCCTCCGAGTCAGAAAATGTGAATGATTAGGATTGTAACTTCCCTGCCCCGTGCTGTGAGGCAGCTGCGGGGACGGGGCTGCAAGGCCGCTCCAAGACAGGCACCTCAGCACCTGCCCTGGTCCCTGGAGCCTGAAAGCGCTAAGTGCAGCAGCGGCCCTTGTCCCCAGCTAGCCCGGGGCTGAGTCTCCTGACCTCTGCTGGGCGTGGGACAAGGTCCTTTACCTCCTGAGGCCAGGTGGGCATTGACCAGGGCTTGCTCCAGGCCTGGCTTCCTGTCCTAGACAGCACCTGCCCAGACCCAGCCAGCACTGGGCTCTAGTGCCAAGCTTTAAGCTCACTCATGCCCAAAAACCTTTTGCGGAGGTTCCATATCTGGCTGCCTAGGGCTGCCTGTCAATGCAGCTCTGACTGAGGTCCTACCAGAGACTGGGGAAAGTAAGGGGGGTGAAGGGGAGGGGAAGGAGGAAGGTACCGGGAGAGAAGAGGAGGGAGAACACAAACTGATGGGGAGGGAATTCAAGGTGGCTTCCCGTGCCTCATCTCACCAATCCCCACAAAACCTGGAAAGGTCAGGAGGTCTGATGTCCTCATCCACACGTGACGGAGGAGGAAGCTGAGGCCAAGAGGAGCGGAGACACCTGGTCCTCCCAGCCGTCCTTCCTCCTGTCCACCCATCTCAACAACCAGCCCCCTCTGTCCGCTCTCCACCTCTCCTCCGGGTCCTCTTCCATCTCTCCCCATATCACCTTGTTCACCTCCCAGCTGGTGAGAACTGGTAGCCCCTGGGGAGAGGAATAGGGGGAGAAAAGGGAAGGGAGCCTCCTACAGGAGAATCCAGACTCTCCCCAGGTTCCGTCTTTAGGTGCAGCAGAGGTGACGGGGCCTGTGTGTGCTTGTGTTAGACGGCGCGCAGGTGTGCCTCTGAGAACCCGTGGAGCCAGGCTCATAGGTGTGGGCCTGCGGTGGCCCTGTGAGCGAATGCTGGAGGAGGGCTGATGTGGCTTTGCACACTCGAGTGAGCGTGCAGAGTGAAGGAGATACACACACCCAGAAGATGCAGCCCTCAGGCACGACTGAAGGTCAGTGTGTGGCCGCGAGCCCCGGTCTGTGTGGGGTGTGTACGTGCGCGCGTGTGCACGGGACTTTGTGAGCCGGCAGACCTGTCACGCCTGCAAGATCCGACACGCAGACACAGCGACCCCTGCTGGCCACACCACCCCAACCACGGCACTTGTCAGCCCCAAGCCCCTAGCTGGACACTTGCTGGAGGGCCAGGCGAGGCAACCTGCAGGAAGCTCAGGGCCGGTAGCCCCCTCTGACTGGGTGCCTCGCCCACCCCCGCGGGTCTGTCTCCCAAGAGTCCACTGTCCACTCTGCCGTGGTCCCCATTGGGCTGGGAGAAGAGCCCAGCCTCCTGGTCATGGCTGTGTCTGTACCTGAGTCTCCTGAAGACTGAGCGGGGAAGGGCCCCCCTCTCTTCTGCGCCTCACCCGGATAGTGGGGCGGGGGTGCATTGGGATAGGCTGCCTCAAGGTGGCTCCAGGGGACTCAAGCATGAGGGACTCCCTGTGTCCTCCACCCCACCCCCATCTGGCTAGAGCCCAGACCCAGGACTTGTGGACGAGGAAGCGCCACCCTGTGGATTCGGTGGACGACGTCTCCCCCTACTGGCCAGAGCTGGCTCTTGCAGCCCGGCTCCCCCAGCCTGGGGCAGGTTGGAAGAAGTGGGAAGGGACACGGTGGGTAGGGGGCTGCTCCTTCCCTGGGCTCTCGGGGTTCTCACGCACTACCATGTGGTGTTTACTGTAAGCCTATGGGGCGGGCATGAGTGGCTGACCTCTCACTTGTAGATGCTTAGACTTTAAGTGTGGAGGAGGCTGGGTGTCTGCCGCTCCTCACCCCAGCCTGCCTCTCAATGGCCAAGACCTACGGTTTGCCCCATCCCTTCTCAGTCCGTCTCCTGGCCCCGCTAGACAGGTGCTTAGGTCCAGACACCCCCAGGAGGGCAGAAGCATGTGGCTGGGGCCCCAGACTAGGCAGGTACGTGTGGGTGTCTATTCACACCACTTTACTGAGCACTCACTCCAAGGCGCCTGACCGTTTGTACAAGCGTTTTACCTCCAGGCATGGTCTCATTCTCATTTTCTCCTCACGACAGCACGTGAGGTCGGGAAAAGCACCCCTGTTTTGCAGAGAAGGTCCTTAAAGCTCAGAGAGCTTATTTTGCCCCAAGTTCCGCGGCCAGATTGGAATTCGGGTAGTTACTGACTCCGGGCTGGGCTCACTGCGAAGCTGGGCTGTGCGGAGCTGTTCACTGCATGACCTCCGCCTTTTCCTCACAGAAAGCTGACCGGTCCCGGGCATCTCATGCCCTCATTCAGTCCCCACAACTATCTTGTGAGGAAAGTGATATTTTATCCCCATTTTACAGATGAAGAGATAGAGGCTCTGAGAGTTTAAGGAGATTACCCAAGGAGTGTCAGTGACAGTGGGACAACAGCAGGCTAGGGCAGAGCTCAGGCCCAGAGGAGAGGACGGTGGGGACACTGGTGGGCCGAGGCATGAGAGAGAAGCCCTGGAAAAGGGGGCTGGGCCACATGTGGCTTTTGGGGGGATCGGGGAGCTGCTCCCTCTGGGCACAGGCTCCCAGGAGGGCACCTTTTTGAAACATCAAGGTGCAGAGAAAGGAGCCAGGGCTGTGATGGAACCTGGCTGGTCACCCCCTTGCCATCTCAAGGGGCTGTGGTTGGCTCACTCCTCCTCCACCCTGCCTGTCACACCCTGGCACTCCCCTCAAGTGCCAGCCAAACCCTCCTCAAGTGGCAGGGACTTGACATGGCTGAGGGGGAGAGCTGGAGGGTGACTGCAGTGAGGACCCCTCCTTCTTGGCCTCTAGCTCTATTTTGATATTCGGTCTTCTCTCTCTCGGTCTCCCCCTGCTCTGTTCCCATCTCTCTGGTTCTCTGGGCCTCCCATGGCCTCAGCCTCCCTTTCTTCCCACAGGGCACTTGTCCTGGGGTCCCCTGGTACCCCATGGAGATCGTGGTGGAGGATGTGGGATGACAAAGAGGAGAGGCAATGGGCCAGAGTGTCTCAAGGCACTCTGGGGACAGACAGAGGCGGAACGTGAGTATCAGAGATTTATTGGGTAGCCCCCACTCCAAACACCAGCAGCCCCACGCATGCATCCTCACTAGAAATAAATAAGGCAGCATTCAATGAACCAGTCTGTCTTCTTCCTAAGGAGCTCTGGGGAGGGTCTGCCGCTGCCCACCTAGGGGCTGGGATCCCTTCGGCTCTTGAGCGGGGGTGGGGGATGCAGGCTGCAGGCCCACTCTTTTCTAGCCTGGCCCTTGCAGCCTGTGAGCCTGGCACTGTGTTCACAATCTCTGAGGTCTGTCCCAGAGAGACCCATCCCCAGCAGACCCTAGCCCCTGGCCCCTACCCCAGGAGTTCCACCATAGGTTCCTTCTCCCCTCTCTAACTGTGTAGCCAGGGGGACCGGCACCTCCTCCTCAGCCAAGAGGACCGGTTGTGCAAAAAGGAAGCTTGTGTTAGGTACTTTGTCTTTTTTCCCCCTTGGCTCAGGGGCTGAGGAGGTGGCCCCTGCCTGACACTGGTCAGCGGGCAGTCAGCTCCATGGTCTTCTTCCGCTCCTCCCGCTGCTCCTCCCAGTCCTCGTCAGGCTCATACGTGCCTTTGATGATGTCCACACGCTCACTCAGGCTCAGGGAGTTGGGGAAGAGCAGGTAGAAGTAGAGGATGGCAGCGAGGACCGCCCCCACGATGGGCCCTACCCAGAAAACCTGGTGGAGACAGGGCAGGAGTCAGGGCGTTGAGCCCCAGACCTCGAAGACCAGATGCCCCCCACCCCACAGAGGACAGACCCATGGACCCTGAGAGGGGACAGACACACAGACTTCCAGACCTTCAGGAAGAAAGACTTCCTCCCACCACAGGGACGGATATACTGACACACCACTCCCAGGGGAAGAGGCATGGACCACAGACACCCAGACCCTCAAAGAAGGCAAACAGATTCCCAGAGGGACAGGCCCCCTCCAACCACACCCGAAAGAGAAACAAATAAACCTTCAGAGGGGACACGTGGGTCCTCAGAGAGAGAGATGAACAGAGCACCTTTCCCCTCCACATAGGGATAGAAACAGACCCTGGAGAGAGTGACCATGAGCTCTCAAAGGAGGGGGCAGACAGACTGTTCACAGGGACAGACCCACAGGAAGACTCTCCCAACCCCCTCAACAGGGACAGATAAATAAAACATCAGAGAGGACCAGCACACAGACACCCAGAGTGACAGACACCAAATCCTCAAGGGAATTGACACAGAGCCCCCCTGCACCTCCAGCCTCTTCCCTAAGGGGGAAGAACCTCTTCCCTAAGGGGACAGAACCTCTTCCCTAAGGGGACAGATACTTATAGTCCCTGTCCCCAGGGGTTCAGGCCATACAAAGCCATCTCTGCCCCTGTGGCTGAATCCCATCCCCTTTCTCTCTCAGCCACCGCTCCCTGGCCCACCCCCAAGCTCTGGGCCCACAGAATCCAGAAGATTCTGTGGTGAGCTCTGAGCTGCCACTGCTGGGTCTCCAGGCCCTCATCTCCAGGGAGCCAGGGGAGGGGACAGACTCACCCAGTGAGCGGGGCTGAACCGATTCATGACCACTGCAGGGCCAAAAGAACGTGCTGGGTTCATGGAGCAGCCAGTGAAGTAGATCTGGATAGAGACAGGGCGGTGGAGAGAAAGGCAACATCCCAGTCCACTCCCACAGAATCTGGACTCTCCCAAGGTTACACTGCAGTCCAGGGGCTCAGCCAGGTCTCAAACTCAGGTCTCCTGATTGCTGGGCTGGCAACCCCTCCCTCCAAGGATCCCAGCTGCCCGGTTAACCATGGACCCTTAACTATGCCCTCTTCTCTTCTCTGCTCTGAGGTTGGGTTTGATTCCTGTCCCATCCCACCTCCTACTTACTCCCATCTTTCCTCAGCCCAGAGGTTCTGGGGGGATCAATTCTGGGGCCCAGTAGGGCCAGAGTCCAGCAGCCCTAAATCCAGGCCTTAAACTCTGCTGGACTCATCAATCTGAAGTGGGCTCTGCTCTGGGGCTCCATTATTTGCCTTGAGTGCCTGCCCCACCCTCACCACAGCCCAGTGTCAGTACTGCTCACCCCGACAAGGTGGCCCAGGGTGACAGACAGGCCAATGGACAGGGCTGGGGAGCCCACAGGGCTGGTGCGACGGGAGTCAGTGGAGGCGAAGATGCAGAGTGCCAGCTGGAAGGTCAGAATCAGCTCCACCACCATGGCCTGGCCCTGCGTTGTGTTGTTGTTGAGCTGCAAGGGGATGGCGGGTTAGGACCCTGGCCACCTTCTGGCAGTATAGCCAGGGGCTCTGGGAGCAGGGCTTTTGGTGTTCAGGGACACTTAGAGCAGCTTGACACCTGGAAGCCAAGCCCCGTGGACATCACCCCAGCGAAATCATTTGTTAAAGACACTACATTTCACAGTTTGCACAGGCTTGAAGCTCAGGCCTGTAGCCAAAGGGCAGAGTGTCAGGGGAGCTTTTCCTGGACATGGTCCTATCAATGACTCTGCCCAACCCCCAGCCCCCATAAGCTGGCATTTACCCTCCATCCTGTGGGCAGCTGCCCAGTTTGCCTGCTTCACACCCCATCCCCGCCTCCTGCCCGTGTCTGGCCCCATGCCAGTGTCAACCTTAAACCCGTCTCTCCAGTGCGGCTGACTCACGGCTTGACAATGGCCGAGCAAATCCTTCTCTGTGTTTGATTAATGAACCCAGTTTGCATGGGGTTGGGGGCTGACTCAGGGGCTGCAGGAGGTGGGAGGGAGGCAGGGATGTGAGGTTGCAGGGAGGAGCACAGGTTGGGGAAAGCGCGAACCAATACTCAACAGAGACTGCTCTGCACTGGCACCACGTTAGGGGGTTCCTATCTATGGTTTCTAAATGTGAGCCCCTTGACACCTGCTGTGGCAGGCACGACCATCCCCATGGAGGAGCTGAGAACAACGAAGCACAGACAGGCCAGGGTCACCCAAAGCCGGGATGACAGCCCGCTTCTCTCTGGTGGTTCTACTCAAAGGCTCCCCTGAGGAGATGGGAGAGGTGAGGGGCCCAGGAGGAAGGTGGGGCTCAAAGGTGAGACAGGAGGCGGCAGAAGTTTCTGGCAGGAAAGGAGGGGCAGCAGGCATTGGAGAGAGACCAGAGTGGGCCAGCATGTGGTGAGGGGCAGAGGAGGTGGGCAGGAAGGGGGCGCACATCAGCCTGGAGAGTCGCCTTCCTGGCCTCCGGAGGCTCTTGCCTTCCTGGTGAAGGGTGTGGGCTGGACCACTCTACGGCACCCCTTTTTCCAGGTGAGGTAAGAGGCCTGGTCCTGAGCCCACCCCAGGGTCGCGGCTCCCACCCCCCCAGGGCACTCACCGCGTTGATGGCCAGATTGCCCCGGGCATTGAGCGGTGCCACACCGTAGAGGATGCCGGCCCCGGCAATGGCGCCCACCAGCTGGGCCGCCACGTAGAAGAAAGCCCGGAGCAGCGAGATCTGGTTGCCCACCAAGAGGGCCAGGGTGATGGCAGGGTTGATGTGGCCGCCGCTCACGGGTCCCAGGGCCTGGGCCAGCGTGCCTATGGCCAGGCCAAAGGCCAGCGCGATCTGCAGGATGGTGGGCAGCGCCGACGGCCACTTGAGGGCCGAGCCCAGGCCGAAGAAGACGAAGATGAGGGTGGCCAAGAACTCGGCGAACACGGCCTTGAGGAAGGCCACGGAGCACACCTCCTTCTTCATGGTGGCCGCGGGGGCCCGGCGGCGGCGGCCGCGGCGGGGGGCGACCGTTGGGTCGCAGGCGGCTGACGAGGTGGAGGCGGCGGGGACGGGGGCCTGGCTGCGTGGCGCCGCGCTCTGTCCCGCGCCCACTGCGAGGCTGGCGGCCTGGCGCGGGCCCTGCTGGGGCGCGCTATATAGGGGGCGGGGGGCCGGGCGCGGGGCCGGCGCGGGGGGGGAGGGGGCGGCTCCCACGCTCAGGGGCCAGCGCTGCGCGCGGGTTGGGAGGCTCCAGGCCGCCGTGGGCTCGCCGCTCCCCGCCGCCCAGCGCAACCTCGGCGCGACCCCCGCCCCCCGGCCCGGGCAGCCGCTTGCCCGTCCGGGCCACGTGACCCAGGCGGCGGTGTAGACTGGCCCCGCGTCCCGGACCCCGCGCATGATGCGCCCAGGTTGGCTCCCGCGCTCTCCTCGGTGCCGTGCGCCCCGGACTCCCTGGGAGACGGGGCTCGGTCCCGGCGCTTAGCTCCTACCTCAGGGCGTCTAGCTCCGCCGGCCTTTACCGCGCTCCGCGCGCGGGCTTCCCCTTTTCTTCTCTTCGGGCTTTTGGTCCAGCTCCTCCTTTTCCTCCTGCGACCGGAGCATCCTGACCCGCCTCACCCCCGGCTGGGTCGGAGTGATGCTCGTCCCGCAGGTCGGCGCCGCTCACCTCCCTCACCGCCGGCGGCGGGGGCGGGCGGCCGGGCTGGGTCCTGCAGGGCGGTCCGGCCGGCCGTCGTGGGCCGCTCCCGGCCTGGGCCGGGCGAGCTTCTGGGCTTGGAAGGCTGGCGTTTTGGGGAAAGTGGGCACCGTGCCAGCCTGCCCCGATGCTTTGCAATCCTCGACGCCCGGTAGCTGGGCAGTACCTGCACTAGGCAATGGACCCCTGGAGGCGCCCTCTCCCAGGCCAGGTTCCCCTTGTCGACGTGACGGGAGGGGGGTGTGACGCGAGGCCTTGAGACTATGGGAGTGGGAGAGCAGGGAGGGTAGAGGCGCACCACTGACCTCCCAAGCGCGGTCTTGGCATCTCCCCTCTTCCTGCTAGAAGCCCCTCACCCTGGATCTAAGACTCTCCTCTTCCTCCACCTCCCCTCAGTCTCTTTCAAACCCTTACTTGGTCTTGGTCTCTCTCCCCTCGAAATCTGTTTCTGCCAGTCAGTCTTTGCAAAATCCTGTTTCTCTTTTTGTCTCTGTCTTTAGTCTCTGTCCCTCTACCTCTGCCAGCCTCTTCCTCTAGGTCTCTCTCCGTAGGTCTCTTTCTCATTTCAGTCTCTCTCTGTTTTCCACCTCTCCCTCTCTCTGTCTCTCTCACACCTTCTTATTTTCTGTTTTTCCTTCCTGCCTTTTGCTGTCTTAGTGTCTCTGTCTCTTTCTCTCTATTCATTTATCTCATCCTGCAGTTTCTGTCTCCTGGCTATTTTCACCTTTCCTCTGCCTCTTAGTTTCTGTGCCTCTTTTTGTTTCTGTCTGTTTCTACCTCATTTTCCATGTCTCTGCCTTACATGTGGTCTTTTTCAGTTTCCCCAAAGTCAAGTTTTTCTACCCCTGGTCTGGGTGACACTTTCTTCCAGTTCCCATTTCCCTTCCCTCTGAGCTTATAGCCCCTCTGTGACCTGCTACCTCCTTCCATACCACCCCCTCCCTCTTCCCACCCACTCCAGGTCGGGCATGTGGGAATGAGGCTGGAGGGCTCTCCAGGGCTTAGAGGAGGGGGAAGACCCCTAGGATCCCGGGAGAGGAGCTGCATTAAAGACCTCCATCCTCATGTGTGTTAGAGAAGCCCTTAGCACAGTGCTTGGCACAGAATAAGGCTCAGTAAAGTCTCCTTACATTGTGACTGTTAATTTTAAAAGCCCCTTGAGGGTTTAGTGTGGTGCTAAGCTTGGGGAAGAGTCCAGTAGGAAGGTACAGAGGGAGTAGAGAATAGGTGCTTCCCCTGTCAGTCAGGCAGGGCTGAGGGGAGGAGCCTGCATGAATGCTAAGGACTTGGAAGAGTGGGCTCTGGGCTCCGTGGCAGCTAAGATGCCAAAGAAAACAAGGGCCAAAGAAACCCCGCTATTGTTCCTGCCCAGTTCTGGCATTTCCTGCTGGAGCAGCTCCTCCCCCAAGTCTCTCCTCTTAAGGCCAGAGGTCCGTTTGTCCTTTCTTCCATGAGTCCCAGCGCTCTGTCCCCAGCCAATCATGCCAGTTGTATGCAGGATTTTCTTCTGGGTCTGGGGGTTGGGCTGGACAATGACCTTGATGACCCCAGAGGTCATTGGGGGCCAGGCTCCTTCGCTGCTGAACTTGCCTCCAGTTTGCACTCTTCCACTTGCTTTCTCATCATTTCTCAAGTGCTCACAAGAGGCTAGGCTACCAGGGGAAGCTCCAACCTGAAGATTTGAGCTAATGAGGGACTGTAAAGGCCAAGACCTTGTTCTTGCCGTTTTAGAGATTCAGAATATGATCTACAAAGTTAGAGATTATAATTGGCCTCCACTGTGTGATTTCATTCCAAGCTACCCACGAAGAAACCCAGACTCAGAGGTCACTTGCCTAGGGTCACACAGTGACCTGAGATAGGAACTACAGGTCGCCACACAGACTTGGGCACCAGAAGTGGGCCTGGTGAGGCCAAAGAAGGAGACTTCATCTGTCAAGGTTACTCACATTGGGCAGCTGATTCTGTTTCCCAGGCCTGCGTCTGAGGCCCCTCCATCTCTCTAACCACTAGAGTCCGTCTGTCCCCAAGTCATCACAATAAACTCCTATTATGGCTTGGAATTATCTTTGCTCAAGCACTCAGGCCTTGCCCTGCCACCTCCAGAGGAATGCCCGCGACCTTTCTTAGTTGAGAGATGGGTCTCCCCATTGGTGGCAGGGGGAATTTGAATGTCTCAGGGAGAGCCCTTCCCCTCCTCTCCTGATATGGGGACCTCTGAGTTCCCTGGGAGAACTTGAGGGCTGGGGTAGAAATGGTAGGGAGTTCCGCCTGTCTTCTGGTACCTTGGACTGTATTTGTATTGACCACTGCCACGTTGTGGAAGAACACTACTTATTGGCAAATGAGCATTTATTGAGTGCTTATTATATGCAGAGCAGTTGAAGGAAGGTAGATAGGAGAATGCCATCTAAGAACTGAAAGCAGCCCTGTCCCCAAAGGGCTTACAGTTTAGCTGGGAGGCATCATATATATACAACATCACAGCTTAAAGATACAAAACAACATTGAAGCACCATTTGCAGGTGCAAAGTCATTTGGTACAAAGTGGGAGTATGGGACAGCTCACAACCTTCTCTGTGCCCAGCTTGGGGACCTGGAGGTCTGTCCACCTGTCTCCACGCTGCCCTGCCTGTATGGTTTGGTGTGAGTGATCTCCGTTCTCTGACTAACCAGGTGCTCTTCAAGGGCAGAAACCAGCCCCACAGGTAGTGTATAGTGGAGCCAAGACTTGAACTCAGAGCTTTTTATGCAAAATCCCATGATTTTTCCACTGAGGCAAATCCTAGGCTCCTCCTGGGAGGCCCTTGCAGAAGCCAGAACACATGGCTAGACCTTTCCAACCCAACCCACTGTCTTGCAGTGGACAGAGAACCTTGGCGAGGGCAGCAGGGTAGACAGGACAAAGAACCTGTGAGACTTTAGACCAGTCTCTTAGCCTTGGTTTCTGAACCTGTAAAATGGGAAGAACAATATTTGCTCTACCTTTGTCACAAGGTTGGGAGATAATCACAGGGGATGATAAGGGGAAGCTTTGGAAATAGCAAAACTCTTTATGGCTGGGGGCCTTTGTCCTTCCCTAACCTATCAGAAGTTTGAGGAAGATTAGATGAACCCTTGCATGCAAGGCACCCAGCACAGCAGCTGGTACATAAGAGATGCCAGGAACTGCCAATTTCCCTTCACCCCTGGAGTTCCATCACTTGGAATCCTTTTTTGACCTCTGACCCCAATGGGCAATAGAAGTTGGAAGTGGTAGGGATTTCATATTTAGTTTTGGGGGAGATGCAATCCAAGAAGTGAAACAGACATAGAGATAAATTCTTGGCTTCTTCTAGAGGAGTTTGTTGGGGTAGGTGGGGTGGGGACGAGGTGCCTGAGACACATCCATGATAGGCTCATAGCTCACTGCCTTGCTGCCTTTGAACCTCTAGAGCAAGGACACTCAGGTGCCAGGAGGACAGCTGTGGAGGTCACTTTGGTTTCTGACTCCCCCACTCTTCTGGTAGTGAGGCCAAGTGGCTGTCACTAGCTATTGGGGGTTTGGGAGAGTCCTCTCCATAGCACCTATGGCCTGGGGCAGCCTTTTTTTGACCTCAAAGAGAGCTTTGGTCAAGGAAGACAGTAAAGAGCATAGATCAGAGGGGACACAATTACAGAGATGTTCCTTATACACTGTCTTTCTTGGATGGAAGCAGAAGGGAGAAAGAGGCTAGAGACTCAGTGCCTGGTGCACAGTGGGTGCTTGGTGCAGTGTGAGCTAGATATAGACAGAAGTCTTGAAGGCATGGAGGCCACAGAGAGCATGAGGGTGGGGGCTTCAAGGTATGACCCACATATTACTTATACAGCAGGCTGGAGAGGGAAGGAGAGAATGGATGGGGCTGGGTGGTGGGAGGAAGGAGGTGGGAGAAAAGATAGGGCACACATGCAGGGTAAGGAGAGGTTAAGAGGCTGGACCAGGATGGGGCCAGCCCCAAACCCATCTCCTTCTGCCTGGATCTTGCAGGCTCCCAGGACTCTCCTTTGCTTTGGCCATCAGTGAAAGGAGGTAAGGGATGTTGAGCATCAAACTCCTTCTGCATCCTTCCCCCAGGAAGCAGAAATAATGAAAATGATTCTAGTAATGCGTGTTAATGGTATTAAGAATTACAGTTTACACAGCATCTTTACATGCGTCATCTCACTTAATCCTGGTTAATCTCATTTGAGAACAGTCATACTGGCCTAGAAATTTAGAAGCCTGGGTTCTAGACTCAGATCTGCCTCTGCCTGGAGAAGTCATTTCCCTTCCCTGGTCCTGAGCGCAACAGGCTGCTCTATCCACAATGACTGTTCAGTGGTAGGAGCCAGAAGCAGGGAATCACAGGCTGTGGAGAGGCAGAGAGAGAAGGAACAGAGGTTCCTGGGGCGGAGGAGCTGCTGCCCGAGGACTGGGGAGAATGAGATGGGTGATGAAGGGGTGTTGCCTGGTGCCCATGGTTGCATGCCTGAGTGCCTTGCCCAGCCAGCCATAGGTGTGTGCTGGGCAAGAGGGCTGACTTGGGAAAGTGAGTGTCTCCTTTCAAGAAGTGTCTAGTTGCAAATCTCCCCCTCTCCCAAGACAAAGGCCCGGGTCCCACAAAGCGCTTTTGTTTTCTCTGCCGAAGTGGGAGGCTAATCTCTGGATCTGGGGCACCCCTGGAGACGGGGGTCCTGGGCACACACAGCGTACACACACGTGAAGGTGTGCACACTCATATGCCTGCTTTCTCTTTGGAGAGGTTCTCCCTCACCACAGAAAGGAAATCTTTGGTCACCAAAGATTTCCTTTTTCCAGAGGCCATTTCTAGGGGAGCTGTTCTCTGGTTGACACCTCTCTACCTCCAGCAATGAGTCTTGGCAAGCCTTGGGGCCCAGCGCTGCAGGTAGGGGACATTTTCCAGGAGGAGCCAGATTGCAGCTGGAAATCAAGGCCCTCCCTTCAGCCCTCTCAAAGTGGCCTCCTTCCCTTCCCCTGAGGATGACTGGCACCCACACTCATCCACTGCAGAAGTGGATTTATTGCAGGTTGGGGAGGAAGGGGTGCAAGGGGAAGTGAGAATTCCCCAGCCGTGCACACTTGCACCAACGTAGGCAAACCTGTTCACACTCAGGGGCATGCACAACCCTGCATGTGAGGACAAAGGAGAACTCGGGGATGAACACACTTGCACACTAATAAAACCAGTTGCACTCTTTCCAGTACCCCCAAGGCAGGGGTCTGTACACTCCCTACCCGGTACCTGGGTGCAGGCTCTCAAGAGTTTCGCTCTTACCACCCACCTGCCTCCCTCCCCAGCTCAGTCCCCCAAGTTCCCAGTTCCCTGCAAAAGGCTGGAGGATCCACTACTGGCTGCTCACAGCCTCAGGGCAGGGGGCCTGCCAGGCTCAGGGCTCCCTCCGGCAGCCTCGTCTACGCCTGCTCACAGCACTGGCCTCGGCGCGCACGTACAGGAAGCAGCTACTCTGCGCTGGGGGCCAACTTCAGACCTGGGGGAGAGGAGGGACGGGGTGGGCCCTTCTGCCTCGGGCCTCACACGCGTCCATCGGGGCCGTAGAGGCCGCTGACGGCCCTCAGGCCTTGGTGCCCCGTGGGAGGCTCTGCGGCGAGTGCAGCTCCACCGACTGTCGCCGCCGCACCTCGCGCTCCTCCCAGTCCGTGTCCGGCTCCAGGCCCTTCAGCACTGCCAGGCGCTCCGACAGGCTCTTGGCTGGCGGGAACAGCACGTAGTTGTAGAGGAGGGAGCCCAGGATGGCGCCCACCAGGGGTCCGATCCAGAAGACCTGGGGGCGAGCGGAGAGAGTGGCTTGGCACCCGAGCCTACACCGGCACGCGGAGCCCGCAGGCCCCGGTGGCACACACTGCGGCCGCACCCCTCCTCCCCGCCATTAATCTAGTGAAATGCTTATTTATGTAATTAGCGACGACAACGGCAGCTGCTGGGGAAGCCTTATCAGTGCGAGGTTAAGGGTGCGAATTTTGAAGCCACTGCCTGTGTGTGAATCCTGATTCCACCACTTAGATGCTGTGTGCACTTCAACAAGTTACTTACCATCTCTGTGCCTTTCACTATAAGAATGCCTGTCTCCTAGGGTGGTTGTGAAAATTGAATGAGTTAATGTTTGCAAAGCACTCAGAACAAGGCTCACCACATTCTAAGCACTAGATAAGTGCTAAATACTACCACTTGTAGAGTTCTAAGTGCCAGACACTGCATTATCTGGGTTACACCGGTAGCCTCACTTACTGTTCCCAAGAAGCCAGTGAGGTAAGCTGTTGTCATCCTCATTCACAGTTGTGGAAACTGAGTCTTTGGCATCAGATCTGAGGGGTGGAACCCAAGGCTCCCCAGGACCAGGAGGAGTATGGAGGGTTTGAGGTACCGCTGCTGAGCCCCAATCCCATGCTATTCCAGCTCTTGTTCTCCCTCTAAAATGGGTTTTTTAGGGAAGGGGAGGGCAGTGGGTTTCAGCCATTACCCAGTGGTCATCAAATTTGCCAGTGACGACAGCTGGAGCCAGGGAGCGGGCGGGATTCATAGAGCAGCCGGTGTAGTGGATCTGCAGTGGGAGGAGGGTATCACAGAGAGAAGGCAGGTGAGCACAGGGCAGAAAGTCCTTGTCGCGCACTGCAGTGCTTGACCTCAGCCTAAAGGGAACCCACGTGATGGACAATTAACTTCACGTTTTATTTAAAGAGCTCTGTATTCTTTGGAGGCTGGAGTGATATCTGTCCCTCTGGGATATCTGGGAGTCAAACCTCTGGGGTGTCTGTTCCTCTTGAGAGTTCTGTGTATGTGACCCTCTTGGGGTCTCTGTGTCTGTCTCTGGAGTGGTCTGTGTGTCTGTTCCTCCAGGGAGACTGGAACCTATGGCCATGACCTACCCCCAGGAGGTGGCCCAGGGCCACGGAGAAGCCTATGGAGAGAGCAGGGGTGCCCGGGTTCTCTCCACGGCGCTCATCGGTGGAGGCAAAGATGCAGAGCACCAGCTGCAGCGTCAGGAAGAGCTCCACAGTCACCGCCTGGCCAGCTGTCGTGCTGTTGCTGAGCTGGGGACAAAGAGGCAGGTAGGGGAACACTGAGCACACTCTCCTCTCTGGCTCCATCTTCCTGTCCACCTGCAGTCAAGGCACCAGGGGGGCCTCTGGGCTGGGAACCAGAACACCTGGGCTTGCCAGACACCTTAGCTGGAACAACTGATCCCTTCTTCTTGGGCCCTGGCCCAAAGGCAGCCCATGATCCCCCAGGATGCCCGTGGTTTCCCTGCCAGAGGTAGGAAAACTGACTCTGTAGCCCATTAGATTGGGGGGTGAGGTTGGGAGCCTGCAGTGTGAGAGAAAAAGGATGCTGAGATCCGGAATTTCTGTTTCCTGAAGAACAAGAAGGGAAGAGGTTTCAACTGCCTCAGGAAGCTTTGGACTGGTTAGCAGGAAGACCTTCCCCTCTCTCTAGACCATCAGACCCTGGTGCAATGAGAGGCGCGTGGTCTTTCTTCCTGAGGTCAAATGGCTCCCAGGGACAGGGTCTAGGGACTTGGGTCTGGGGGATGGTCCTAGTGTGCCCCTTTCTGCTATGAGTCCACCATACACCTTTTCCCCTAACCCTTGTCTATTCTCCACTGCCTTTCAGGCCTCAGCTTTGCCCTGTTAGTTTGCTCCCTGCACATCCTATGGAGGTTGGGGTGAGGACCCCGGAGCTGTGTCGGACAATGCCTCCACACCCATGTAGGTTGCCCATGGTCTCAGCAGACCCTGCCTTGGGTAAGGAGAGAACTCGGGGCTGAGTAAAGAGGTGATTTCATAACTGGGCCACACCCAGCACTGGATTTCTCCTTGGGTTTTGTCACCCTGTGCCCTACGCCCTGCCTTCTGGGACTGGGCACCATGCTGGGTGGAACAGTGACAGCTCTCAGCTCCCATGCTCTTTCTCCAGGCCCTGAACCCCCACCCCTGGGTCCGAGACATCAGGTCAGAACCCTTGGGTCTCTCTAGGGTCTAACCTCAATCCTTCCTGTTGTTGTCCAATGCAGAGTCTCTAGAGGACAGTGAAAAGAGCTTTGGAAGCAGACACTTTAGAGGTCTCTGACTTGCCATGGGACTATTTAATTTGGCCTCAGTTTCTCCTTCTGCGAAATGGGATAACAAAATGGATTCTGGAGGATGGTGGGAGGACTGGAAATGATTTATTGGTTCTGTGACTTGGATCAATTCACTATTGAGCCTCAATTTGCCACTCACAATAGGGGGGAACCACAGAATTTCCCTTATAGCATTGTACCAATGATGAGATGATAGCTGGCCTGGCACAGGGCAGGTGCATGTCAATGATTAACTTCCTGGTGGTCAGGCTGGCTCTCAGTGTCCTCAAAGGACACATGGGATGGTCTTGAGGATCATCTGGCTCTCTTTAGCCTCAGGGAAAGTTGGTCCCACCACTGCCCCATTACATCCAGGCAGGGTTCTCCCCAGGTCCTCAAGGTGGTAAATCCTGAGAAGTGGCATGGAGGAGTCCTCCCAGACCTTTCTCTTCTGAGGGCCCCAGTCAGTTGTGAAATGATGGAGGAGGAGGACTGCATGTTTCCCATGGCCTCTCACTCCCAGTGCCCTGCTATTACAGAAGAACTTCCTGGTCATGCTCTCAGGAAGTTCCTTTTTCAGTCTAACTGGACCTCTTCTTGCTGTAAACTGAACTAATTTTGTTCTCAGAGGAAAAGAGCCCGCTCCTCTGCTTGCCCACCTAGCCTGTCCTTGGCCCCTGGCCCCCAACCTTGTCACATTTTCCTCTTTAAAGAACAGAGCCTTGGTGTGGTGGCTCATACCTGTAATCCTAGCACTTTGGGAGGTGGAGACAGGTGGATCACTTGAGGTTAGGAGTTTGAAACCAGCCTTACCAACATGGTGAACCCTGTCTCTACTAAAAATACAAAAATTAGCTGGGTGTGGTGGCACATGCCTGTAATCCCAGCTACTCGGGAGGCTGAGGCAAGCGAATGACTTGAGGTGGAGGTTGCAGTGAGCTGAGATTGTACCATTGCACTCCAGCCTGGGCAACAGAATGAGACTCCATCTCAAAAACAAAACAAAACAGAGAAGTTTCCTAACTGGGATACCTCTGTCCCACAAATGAGGAAGGGCTACCTGTGCAGAGACGCGGGTGGCCACAGAGATTGTGCAGGACTTGTCAGAGACATCAGGACTCTTGTCCAGTGGCCCAGGGATGGAACAGGCCAGGAAATACTGGAGACTGAGGCACAAAAGAGGCACTTGCTGTCCTGGCTTAGGATGGGGGTACAGAGTGAGAGTTGGTCTGTTGGGAGCACAGGTCATTCCTCCACACTCATGTCTCTTGGATTCACAGGGCCCACACAGACCTGAGAGGGGAAGGGGGTGGGACATGGGGGAAGGGACTGTGGCACCACCCTCAGCTCCCGAAGGGTCCACGGGGCCCAGTTAGCACCTGTATCATGTAATCAGCAGCCAGCTTATGGGCTCCGGGGACCTCGTCAGGGTTTGGAGAAGGAAGTATGCCCATTGCTGCTTGTAGGGCTATGGTGTGTCTGAGCCTGACCTGTAAGGAGCAGCTGCCATAGGGCCTGCAAACCCTCAAAGCAGAAGAAAGGCTGGGCCCCTCTTCTCTCTTGAGGACCCTGTCATGAGCACTCCAAGGCTCCCCGCAGCTTGGAAAGCATGTCTGCTTGGGACACTAACCCCTGCTAAGGTACAGCCTGGTCCTCACTGTCTGTACCTTAGCAGGGGTTAGTACAGAAGAAGAAGCCTGCAGTCTGTCTGCATCCTGCCTTTGCTCTGGTACCATTGCTCCTTTCATCCTGACCCTCCTATGGTGGCTATGTTCCTGACTCCAGGCTCTGTCTCTCTCTGTCTCTCTGCCTCTGTCTCCATCTCTCTCCCCACCTCACCCAGAGCCCATCCCTCCCAACTCATCCCTTACAAGGGATTCCCCAGGATCTGCCCCTTGTGGATGGCAAAGTTGTGGCTACTCACAGCATTGACAGCCAGGTCCCCGCGGATGTCTGCTGGCGTGATCTCATGGAGCAGAGCGGCTCCAGCCACAGCCCCCAGCAGCTGGGCAGCCACGTAGAAGGTGGCTCGGAGAAAGGAGACATGGCAGCCCACCAGGCAGGCCACAGTCACGGCTGGGTTGATGTGGGCCCCGCTTACGTGGCCCAGAGCCTGTACCAGGGTGCCAATACCCAAGCCGAATGCCATGGCGATCTGTAGCACAGAGGGCAGGGCCTGTGGCCAGTTGAGAGCCGAGCCGAGGCCAAAGAAGACGAAGAGGAGTGTGGCCAGGAACTCTGCGAACACGGCCCTGGAGAAGGCTATGGAGCGGAGCTCCCACATGCTGCGGAGTCCTGCGTGGCTGGCCCGGCCGTCTCAGGGCCAGGAGGCTCTGGGCACTCTCTTTCGCTCTCTACCGCTCTCTTTCTCAAGGCCTCTGGGGAGGCTGGGTTGTGGGCATTTATAGGGTACTTCCATCCCGGATCTGGGCACGTGGTGGGGAGGTGGAGTTGTTGAGGCCAATACTGCTTCTCCATGGCGGCCTCTGCCCCCATGCCCCATCCCAGCCCACCCACGTGCCTATCACCCTATCTTAGCCTTCACAGCTGACTGATGTTCCCCATTTAATGAGCTCCAGATAAGGACTGACGTCCCTGGTTTTCCGTGTTTGTTCCCTTGGTTACCCCAGGGCTGCTGCCCCAGGGCCTCTCCCAGCCCCCACGGGGTCTTGTGAATGGGAACCTCTGGTGGGGATTGTGCCCAGTGCCCCTCTCTCTGACTCAAACTGTTGACCAAGGCAGGGGCAATACCTCACACAAAACTAAGAGTGCATGAGTGCTGCTCCTTGTGGTAACTGGGAAGTTCTTCTGTCAGACCTCCAATTACTCCTGCTTCACAGGGATGGAAAACAACTGGTTGGCTTGTGACAGATTTCCAGGGCATAAAGGTTTGTGTCTTCTGCGTTTGCATTCTTGCAGCTAATCACCCATAAATCATTAAGCTTCACCTTCTCCTGGGAGCCCCAGCCAAATAGCAGCTCCTAGAGCCTGGGGGCACTGGGACCCTGGCTCTCGGTGATGGAGTCAACCTGGGGGCGGCTGAGGAAGTTGAGGGTGTCCATTCTGGCATCAGCCTGTTCCATCTATGTGACTTAACCTTTCTTGTCTTTCTCTGTAAAACGGGAAGAATAAAACTGACCTAGTGGATTGGGGTTTGGATTGAATGAAACAATGTATGTCAAGTGCTCAGAGCAGCGCCTGGTCCACAGTAGGTGGTCAATGAATATCAGCCCTTCCTTACAGTATTATTTACACTTTGAGGAGAACAGGTCTTTGCACACTCACGTGTTGGGGTCCCAGAAGCTGTGACAAGTCCTAGGAACCCCGAGGAGCTTAGGGCCACTCTGGCCACAGGAGAAAGACGTTTCTGTGGGGCAGTGAGCTGTGCAGGCTCGGGGCGGCTATGATGGCTGATAAGCAGCTCTCTGGCCTTGGTGCCCACTCAGCCCAGCATCTGGGCAGTGCTGCCTCCTGCTATCAATGCCGCTGTGGCTACTGGGGTCCTGGAGGTGTTCAACCCTAGAAGTTTCCCCAGCCCCACTCACTGGCCCTTCCCTAATCCCTCCAGCCTCGCTCCCCCTCCTGGGGATTCACAGCAGGGTTGGGCTCAGAGTGGGGGCAGAAGGATGGGCTTCTGCACCCTGCCCTAGCTCCTGTCCAGCAGGTCCCTGGGCAAGTCACAGTCCCAGCAACAGAAATCTGGGAGACACTGGAGACTGGAGTGGACCGCTTTATGTTGTATCATGGGGATGTGGGGTGAGTGTAGGCCCAGGGAGGGGAGTGACTCATCTAGGGTGCTCCAGCAGGTTAGTGGCTGAGCTGGGACTGAGCCTGGTCTGGAGCTTTCTGCCACACCCCACACTACCGAGCCACACTCTGTGCCTCAGTTTCCTTGTCTGGACAATGGGAGTGTAGATGCCTACCCCATAAAGTTGTTTTGAGAATGCAGTAAGATAATGAACGGGAAAGTATTTTGTAACTGAGAATGTATCACACACATATATATATATGGGGACTCGTGACTCCTACTATGGTGAAGGAGGAGGAGGAGAAAGGCGAAGAGGAAGGGGAGGAAGAAAGAATAAAAATTACCCATACAGAAGGGATGCTCCAAAAGAGCAGGGATTCCTGTGGGGTTTGTTCTCCAGTGTATTTCCAGTGCCTAACGCCTGGCCTGACACATAGATACCTGGCACCCTAACTCTTCCCTCAGCCATCCTTCCCAACTTCAGGCATTCTGGGTCCTCTGGGAGAAGATCGAGGGAGAGGGGGACCCCTATCCCTGTCATATAAAGGGCATCTGGGACCCACCTCCAGACTCTGCACAGGGGAAGAGACAAGGACTCAGAGGGGTCTGGCTTGGGTGTGCCTCTGCTCCCACCCAGGGAATATTCCTTCCCCACTGCTGCTACAACCTCCACCTCCCAGTTTCAAGCAATTCTCTTGCCTCAGCGTCCTGAGTAGCTGGGATTACAGGCACATGCCACCACGCCAGGCTAATTTTTATATTTCTTTTGGTAGAGATGGGGTTTCACCATATCGGCCAGGCTGGTCTCCAACTCCTGACCTTGGGATCCACCCGCCTCGACCTCCCAAAGTGCTGGGATTACAGGCATGAGCCACCGCGCCTGGTCTACTCCTTTCTTTTGTGGCTTCATGTATCACTTCTCCTGACCTTCGGACATACTGTTCACCCCAACTGGCCAAGTTCAGGACTGAGTCTCAGGGTCCCTGGAAAACCTTCTCTTTGGGCCTCATGTGAACTGAAGCTGTGACAGTGGCTTCTAAATCCACACCCAACCATTTAGTTGCTGTGTGCTCTGGGATGGGCCGCACACCCTTTCTGGTCTCTCCTTCTTTTGTCAAGGTATTCACGATCTTGAGGAGTGGCCCACTGACCCTTGATTCTGGGAAGAACCGCCGCTAACCCAGTCGGGTGAAAATCTCTTGCTTCCCAATACACCGGGATAGGTATGACAGCTTCTCCTTGGAGCCCACAAAGCCCCAACCCGAATTTGCATATGTTTGTGGTATGTGTGTTGTGTGGTTGTTCAGCCACACAATCATACATTTAGAACCTGATGGGATCTTGGAGATCATCTTGCCCATAGATTTTAGTTGCCGTGATAAGAACATGAATTCCAGAGAGAGTGTGACCTGCCGCACAGCTTACAATAGTAGTCAGGACTCACATTCTGATCTGGCCCCTAGTCTGGGAGGACAGGAAGGGGCCAACAGTGACCCAGCTCGTGCCTGTGTTTGCATTTGCCCTTCATGCCAGGGAGGAAGAAGGTGTTCCCATCAAAGCTGGTGGGGCTTGGCTGTGCTTCTGACTGGCAGCTCTGCTCCCCTGAAGGGATGGCTGCATTTTTTCTAAAATGGCCACTATGCTGTGTCTTAGGAAATCTGTTCATCTATCATGCACTATTAATTAGAACATGACAAAAATTGCTGATGAATTCACAGCAATGTGAATGTGTTTAATGCCACTGAACTGTGTACTTAAAAATGGTTAAGATCAGGGCCAGGCGCAGTGGCTCATGCCTATAATCCCAGCACTTTGGGAGGCTGAGGTGGGCAGATCACCCGAGGTCGGAAGTTTGAGACCAGCCTGACCAACATGGAGAAACCCCATCTCTACTAAAAATACAAAATTAGCCGGGTGTGGTGGCATATGCCTGTAATCCCAGCTACTCAGGAGGCTGAGGCAGGAGAATCACTTGAACCCAGGAGGCAGGAGTTGCAGTGATCCGAGATCGTGCCATTGCACTCCAGTCTGGGCAACAAGAGTGAAAATTAGTGTCAAAAAAAAAAAAAGGTTAAGATGGTAAATTTTATGTTATGCGTATTTTATAGGCTAGGCTTGGTGGCTCATGCCTGTAATCCCAGCACTTTGGAAGGCCAAGGTGGGCAGATCACTTGAGCCCAGGAGTTTGAGACCAGCCTGGCAACATGGTGAAACCCTGTCTTTACAAAAAATACTCACAAAAAGTTAGCTAGACATGGTGGTGTGCACCTGTAGTCCCAGCTGAGGTGGGAGGATTGCTTGAGCCTGGGAGGCAGAAATTGCAGTGAGCTGAGATTGCGCCACTGCACTCCAGCCTGGGCGGAAGGGTGAGACACTGTATCACCAAAAAAAAAAAAAAAAAAAAAAATTTAGATTTATTTAGATATCAGTCTTTAAAGTCAAAATTGCTCTTTTGCATGCATAAAAGGAAATTATAGGTAAAACAAATTGGGCTAAAATAGTCTCCAAATTTCTTCACATTCAGAGTCCAATTTTCCTGAAACCCTCTTTGACTCAGAGTCCTTGATTTTCTGCATGGTATCACCTTCTGTGCCATCAGGAGCATTGGCAATGTGCCATTCTTTAAAAGATTGTCCACTATTGTTTCCAGCATTTATTTTCAAGCCTCAGCTACTCATTCTGCAAGCTTTATTGCCGGTATTTTCTTGCTTCATGTGTGACTAGCAATCATTTTGCCCTTTTCTCAGTAATAAAACAACACAACAGTTCCATTTATTTATGGGGCTCTTCCTTTCTTAGGTCTCATAAAACACTTGGCTGCTGTTTTGCAAGAAAATATGAAATTGTGGTCATTCTTCAATGATAACTGCTTCACTAATATCAAATTCTTGCTACACTCTTCTGTTTGCCCGCCTTTCTGCATACACAATAACTGTGTTTAAATGCTAAACCACAGTGTAACCTTTTTGAAGACATTTTAAACAGCAATTAAGCTGAAGGCACGGAACTCACCTGACCAAGTTTAGGTATGCGCAAGCAATGACGGCCACTCCCAGCTGCCACACGAGCAGAAGAGCTCTTACGATGAGAAACGAGATACACCTTAGAATTGGTGAAACATGGCAGTTACAAGATTAAACCCATATGCAATGCCCATTCTGCCATGCATTGTTTTAGACATTCTTGGATATATCAGCTCACTTAAACCCTCACAACCATCTTAGGAGCTAAATATTGTCATCCTGTTTTTTAAAGATGAGGAAAATGAGGCAGAGAGAGGTCAAGTAACTTTCCTGAGATTTCATAGCTAGTAAGTGGGAAGGCAGAATTAGAACTCCAGTAACCTGGCTTTGAGAGAACTTTTTTGATTGTAAAGGTGAGTCCCTAACTCACTCCCTGAAATAATCAAGATGGGAACGTGGTGGGAAAGAGTGCTTAAGTTCTTTGAATAATAAAGACACGGATTAGGGTGTTGTTTGCTGGTGGTTTGAAAGAGGAGACAGGGGCGGTGGAAAAGAGGAGGTGGAAGGAGGGTGTCTGGGAGCTGGGCCTGGTTGAGCCGTGGCTGTGGCTGTGGCTGTGGCCGGTGAGGACGCCCCCTGCTGGAGCACTGTGATGGAATTCGGAGCAGCGCTGTCTGACAGTTGACATGAGGTGTGTTTCCTGCTCTGAGCTGAGTCACAAATGCCCTTTACTCTCCCTGAAAGGTCGGTAAAAGTGGGTCACACAGCAGGCCTGTGAGTCTGGTGCTTTGGGGACTGAGGGAGAAGGGAACGGGTAGATCCACAGTCGGGACAAAGCGGGATGGAGTGAAGAGAGCAGCCCCTGGCTGCGGCTGGCAGGAGAGGAGGGTGGGAGTCGTGGCTGGGGCCTCAGACAGCCTCCGAAGGATGGAGGGCATTGGATCCTTGCAGCTCTGAGACACAGCGTGAGCCGTTTGATTTCTGTGTAGGGTTTCCAGATAAAATACAGGACATCCAGGTAAATTTGAATTTCAGATAAAAAACAAATGATTTTGTTAGTATAAGCATATTCCAAGGGATGTTTGGGACATACATACTAATACTAAAAACATATTCTTTCACTGGAGGTCTGCAGACATCTGGGTTACAAACTAAATCTTCACAAGGACTTTTGGGAATCAGTTCTATGAGACCTATTTTACACAGGAGGAAACTGAGGAACAAAGAGATTAGACAAGTTGCCCATCATCACAAGGCTAGTATGTGACAGAAACAAGCTATGAATATAGAAATTCAAGCCTTTTCTTGACAATAGGCTGACTTCCTCCTCCAAACCCTACCTCGAAGCCCAGGTGGTCATGACGGTTGAGGCCCAGGGGGAGGCAGGGAAGGTCACAGGTCCAGGCTCCTGGGGAGACACAAAGACAGCTTCCTGCCATTTCCCTCCT